ATAAATTTGACATAATACTTTACCCCCTGACAACCATCTAACTTCGGTGTGCAGCAACAAACATTCATACTTTGATTCCATTGAGATGCAGAGTTGTTTAAAAGACGAGTTTTTAGTGGTCTTGATTTGATGTAATTCACGACATTAACCACTTGGTCTAATACAGATTTCAAAGTAGCTGGTAGCGTTTTTGAAATTATAGATTCTCTATGCAAGAAACAGTACGTAGATATGATATTTTCATTTCACTTTTTTTCAAGGGTACAAAAACCTTTTATGGAGCCCTACCATGGAAGGGGCACCATCCGTACAAATTCCTACGCAAAAGTCCCATGATTTATTTTTTTTCTCTAAATATGACGTTATGGAATCAAATACACCCTGACCTATTGTACGTGCTGTAAATTCTCTGCAGCATAAAAACTGATTGACTATTTCACCTTCGTCGACAAATCGAATAAATCCTAATAAATGAGCTTTGTTACTAATATCAGTGGATTCGTCCACCTGCAATGCGAAGTTTTTTTTGCAAAGTTTATTTGTAACTTTTTCCTCAATATCTGCAGATAAATCAACAATCCTCCTTCTTATTGTATCATCCGACATATGAATTTTCCGTATTCCGTTTTGTGCATCGTTGCCAAACATAATTTTAAGTCAATATAAGGTTGAATGTTCGAATAATTAAACTTTGATAGTATACAAGGCAACTATCGAACACAGTGATTAATTAAATCTTGCCCAAGTACTTTCGATCAATAGATCATCTTCAGGGGCATTTCGTCAGTTGTGGCCTATCCGACATGAGGAGAATGTCATAAATGTAAATTTGGACATAGCAATACAATACACAAAGACAAACAAACACCAGAAACCGGAGACAGAATGATTCTGTCTCCGGTTTCTATGTAACATGTAGCTTCTACTTTTAAAAATTTTAAAGTGTTTGTTTGTCTTTGTGTATTGTATTGTTATGTCCAAATTTACATTTATGACTTTCTACTCAAGTCGGATACGCCACAACTGACGAAATGCCCATGAAGATGATCTATTGATCGAAAGTACTTGGGCAAGATTTAATTAATCACTGTGTTCGATAGTTGCCTTGTATACTATCAAAGTTTAAACATAATTTTGACTATCTCACAACATGCTGGTAATATAAGAGATTCTGCAACAGTGTGTGGTTTCTGTTTCAAAGCAATTAATTCGGCGACCTTATATGAAGCTATTTGTGCTTTGTCGAAAATTGTTAGCGACCTTTCAAATTGTTTCGCTTGTGTCTCCAAAAGTCGCTTGAAATAATCTTTATTTGTTGAAGCTACACTAGCGTGTTTGGTAGTAAAATGGCGTTTTAATTTAGCCGGAGCCATTGCGGTATTAGCGAGTGTCTGTCCAAAAACAATACACTTGGGAATTGGACAGTCTTCTTCCCCAGTCCAAATGAAGCCATAATCCAAATATTCATCCAAATATTGCCGGGTTCAACATTTTTTTGCTGCGCTTCGATTTGTCATCAACCCCACTTCGTAAAGTTCCAGTATCTCCGCTGGTGCTCGCTTCATCATCATTATTATGAGTTGTTCCCCAGTAGTTTTTCTTTTAAGTTTGAGGAACTTATCCATTTTAATTTATTCGTCTCTAAACAAAATAATGCGGATGAATGCTTCACATTTTGTATAAAATATGCAATTACTTACCTTTGATAGATAAGCCGTACCTTTGACACGACAAGAACACGGCCCTCAGTCCCCGGCAGTGAGCTGATCCTTGGTCAAGGTAGCGATCAAGAAAGACAGCAAACAGAGGGTGCGAAGAATCCCCGGGTCAGATCAGGCTACCACGGACGACGACAAATGTATATCGCCACGTACAATGTAAGAACACTGTCATCTGAAGAAAAATTGCTGGAATTAGAAGAAGAGTTAAAACACATAAAATGGGACGTTATAGGTCTCTGTGAAGTAAGACGTGAAGAAGAAAACTGTATAACTCTTCAATCAGGGCATCAACTTTTCTATATGGGAAACAAAGAAAAAATAGGAGGAGTTGGACTTCTTATACATAAGAGACACACTAAAAATATCCAACAACTTAAAGGTATCAACCCAAGAATAATACTCTGCATACTGAAGCTTAATAAAAAAACCAGCCTTAAAATAATTCAAGCCTATGCACCTACATCTACACACTCGGACGAGGAAGTGGAAACCTTTTATGAAGACCTAGAAAATGCTGTAAAACTAGCGCCTACTACACATAACCTAGTAATGGGTGACTTTAATGCTAAGTTGGGATGTAAACTAGACGGGACCGAAATAGCAATAGGTCCCTATGGATTCGGACAAAGAAATGAAAGAGGCGAAATGTTTTTGGGTTTCTTGGTACGAAATGGCCTCTTTGCAATGAATAGCTTTTTCAAAAAAAGTCCCCAAAGAAAATGGACCTGGGCAAGTCCAGATGGAGTCACCAAAAATGAAATTGATTTTGTCTTAACAAACAACAAAGACATGATCCATGATGTAACAGTTCTTAATAGCTGTTCAGTGGGAAGTGATCATAGAATAGTAAGAGCGAAGATCGTGCTAAATCTCCAAAAACAAAGATACAAAATGATAACAAAAACAAACCCAATAGAATGGAATCCAATCGAAAACACCATGTCCTTCGAAGAGGAAATTCTGAGATGTCTAGAGACAACAAATATAGACGTTATGGATATCGAAACCTTAAATGATAACTTAATAAAAGCTATTAAGAACGCAGAGAAAAAGTGCAATACAAATTCTAGGAGAGATAAAGAGGAAAAGCTCAGTCAAGAAACAAAAAGACTTATGGAGGCACGAAGAGAACTTAAGAACAAAAACGATACGAATGCACGCGTACTACAACAACTTAATAAAGATATTAATAAAGCAGTGAGAAAGGACGTACGACAATATAACACAAAAAAGATTATAGCGGTTGTCGAGAAAAATAAAAGTTTAAAGGTGCTGAAGAGATGTCAAGCTCTAGGTAAGAAGAACATTGTTAAGCTCGCAGATCGAAATGGAAAAGTGGTAACAGATAAAGATAAGATAATTAAGGTAGTTGAAGAATTTTACACAGAATTATATAGAGAAAGGGGGAAGAAAGACGGCACCAAGTTGAGAAAAGTCCAGGAATGTGGGTTCAGAGGATATCCCAGAAATAACAATCGAAGAAGTCTTAAAGTCATTAAATAGAATGAAAAACAATAAAGCAGCTGGTGATGATCAAATCGTTATTGAGGCAGTTAAAGCAGGAGGAAAGACAGTATTGAAAGCATTGACGCAATTATATAACTTATGCCTTTCAAACGAGGTTACACCATCTCAGTGGAATAAAGCTGTTATAGTAGTCATGCACAAAAAGGGAGATATAACAGAGCTAAAGAACTATAGACCTATTAGCTTGTTATCTCACGTTTATAAGTTGTTTATGAAGATAATAACTAATAGGTTGACATCAAAACTAGACTTCTATCAACCTTGCGAGCAAGCAGGATTTAGAGCTGGATACGGAACAAATGATCATTTGCAAACCATTAAGTCGTTGATTGAAAAAACCATTGAATATAATAGACCCCTGATACTTGTCTTTGTCGACTTTGAAAAAGCATTTGATACGGTCAATCAAAGTGAAATGCTCCAAGCTCTAACACAATGTAGAATAGATCACCGATACATATCTCTCATCAGATACATCTATCAACATGCTACAGCCTGTGTAAGACTTAATGAAGATACTGGGACTTTTCGTATTGAAAGAGGCGTTCGGCAAGGAGACAACATGTCTCCTAAATTATTTACAACTTTGCTAGAATACGTTTGTAAAACAATAGATTGGAACGAAAAGAGCATCAATGTAGATGGAAAATTTTTAAATAACCTTAAATTTGCAGATGATATCGTTCTTATTGCCGACAGCTTTGATCAGGCACAGATAATGCTCCAAGAACTCCATACTGCCACAAAAAGAGTTGGTCTTAAAATAAATTTTTCAAAAACACAATTTATGACAAATTTAGTCCACAACAAAAATATCTCAGTAGAAGACAAAGATATTGAGCCAGTTGACTCCTATAAATACTTAGGCCATGAGATCAGAATAAGTCGAGATAACCAAACAATCGAGCTGAAAAGAAGAATAAACCTCGCTTGGGCTGCATTTGGAAGGATGAAGGATATTTTTAGGTCTAAGATTCCAATGTGTCTGAAAAGAAAAGTATTTAATCAATGTATTTTGCCAGTGATGACCTACGGCGCAGAAACCCTAACGCTCACAAGAACAACAGTGAGTAAACTACAAGTTGCGGAAAGAGCAATGGAGAGAATTATGTTAGGGATTTCTCTACGTGATAGAATACCCAATGCTACTATACGCAAAAGATCAGGAGTAGCAGACGTTATTGAAAGGATAACAACACTAAAATGGAACTGGGCAGGTCATGTAGCAAGATCAGTTGATGACCGGTGGACAAAAAGAATTTTGGAATGGAGACCCCGAATACAAGCTTACAGAAATAAAGGTCGACCCCAACGAGATGGACAGATGACATAAAAAGACTGACTACAAATTGGATTCAGATGGCGCAAAATCGGACTAAGTGGAAAAGCATGCGAGAGGCCTATGTTCAGCAGTGGACGTTAGAGGCTAGTTGATGATGGTGATGATGTAGGATTGCGAGTATTTCGCGGAACACTTGGAAGGAATTCGCGGAACACTAGTGTTCCGCGGAACACCGGTTGAGAACCACTGATCTAAGACGACGTTCAAATTAAAGAGTTGACGGGCCCGTCGCTGTGTATCAACACCGTACTGTGCAGTCACAACCACTACAACCAGTGACCACTATGCCCGCAGTGGCCACTATGCCCTCCCTTCCACTAGGTGTTTCCAAACTTTTGGTGAACTCTGAATATAGAAATGTATATATTCTATTTTGTATAATGATTTTACATCGATAATATTTGTTATAGCTTTCTCGACAGCTTCCAGTTTTGTGTTTTAAAAGTAGCCTACAGATATCCTCACCTTTTAATCACGCAAGAGCTTAATTCCAAATGGAATGTTCCAAAAAGGTTTAAAGGAGAACATAAACGACCGATGCCGAAAAAGATGAAGAAACCAAAAGTTCCTAAATCAAAAAAGAAAGCAAAGATAACACATAAAACTAAAAGTAAGACATAAGTATATAGGTATCTTATATACTTTTATGTTTAGTCTATTTTTTAAGCTTATCTCTTGTCTTTTGCCGTACTACTTCATGATAGGTTTTTTATTACTACTATGTGAACTTAAAACAGACAAATTGTCTAATATAGATGAAATAACATCGAAAATAAAAACGCTATTTTAATTGCAGGTACCAAAACGAAGAGTTCGAAAGCCTCGAAAAAGAGCAAGGCATCAAAAGGCCGTTCTGACAAGACAAGCAAAAAAGGAAAAAAGAGCCCCAAAAAAGAAAAAGCACATCGAAAACTAACAAAACAAGAAAAAGCCGAACTGGCCCGACAAGAAGCTAAAAGAAAACTCTTCGAAGAAATGGAGAGAAAAGCGGAAGAAAACAAACGATTCATGTTCCCACTAGTTGATTCGGTCGGGGACAAATTCTTCGAGAATATATTCGAAAATTGGGTCAATCCAAAGAAAAGAGTTTCGAAGGTGAATAAAGATTTAATTAAAAAGCATAAGAAGAAAGGTAAAAGTCATGCTTAACTTTTTAATATTGATTACACAAATTTGTAATTCTTAGAAAAATAAATTATATTTACATAGATGTAGTTTTTATTTTTATTAAAGTATTGCAGTGTTAATACTAGATTACAGATGGCGCCAAAAAGTAATGATATTTCAAAGAGGAAGACTTTGAAAATAAGAATTGTTCAGCGACTTTTATGCTGTTTACAAGTTTTGTAATTATTATGAAAATATAAAAATAAATTGTATATTAACCTTACAATAAATGCCTCGTTCTTAGTTTTCTTGAATATATTGAATCACAGGACTCCCAGATGGAATATTAGTGTTATCACGAGTTTACAGATGGCGCTGTAAACCTGACTGTATTTTATTAATAGAGTGTATAAATGAATGATACTATAAGACATTTAAAAGAATTAATTGAAGAAAATAAATTAATTGGTGTAATAATTTGTGTACAAAGGTTAAATATTTTTGTTAAATAATTTATTAAAAATATTAAAAAATAATCTTTGGAATCACTTTCTTACAGTTTCCGTAGTGTAGTGGTTATCACGTGTGCTTCACACGCACAAGGTCCCCGGTTCGATCCCGGGCGGAAACATTTTTTTAAAATTTTTTTTTTCTAATATTATTTATGGTATTTATTAATACGGACACTTAAAATGCTGTTATGTCCATCGAGAGTTGATTTAATGATTCTAGATGTTTCATACGGAAAGCATTATAGTCTACTAAGATATAGTCATACTACACTTTCTGATAAGAGGAGATGCATTTCTGATATAATTCAGATCCGGATATCAAAGATCAAAGGAACGATAGAAAAATGATTTTTAGCTAGAACTTTTTAAAGACACCAAGTGGACACAAGTTGAACTAATTTCCAGAATATTTATTGTCATACCTACGTCTATTCTGAACGATCTTTATTCACTGTTCTGCAACAGCAATACATTTAAGCTTTCCAACAATTCTTTCCAAAAAGTTAAGGAAATAGTGAGTTGTTGTATATTCACCATCCTCTTACACAGTATACTTAAATGCACCCGCTCTAACTAAATCCATAATGAGAAATGTAGTACCTACACAGTGTTGGAGCGATACCCATGTCTCGACTCGGATACATCAGAGAATGATTCAGTCATTAAAACAGCTGTTTAGTGCAGCTAATTATTCAAATACTAATTGTCAACCTTAGAATGAAGACCCAAGAAGAAATGTTGTGCAAATATGTTTAAATCATTTTACTTTTGTTTTTCTAATATTCTCCAGTGATTATAATTCCTGATTGGGATCATCCTATCTTGTGCATGATGATTATTTATTTTGTCTTCCACCGATTGTTTTTTCATAAAGTCAATTTTGTGTTTAAATTTATTGTATTTACTTTTGAAGATTTTATTGAATAGGAAAAAATGGGAACAACTAATTTATAATGAAAATTACATAACAACTAATTTATTGGGATTATTACAGATTAACATTTAATAATACTTAAATCGTAAAAATAACTTATTTACTGGTCTCCTACTGCATTAATGTCCTACAACTTTATTAATTCTTCGTCAGTGCCGGCTTAACAGAGTCTGCCGCCCGGTGTTGATATGGAGCTTATTTTAAATACAAGCCTATTAAAATAAGGAAAACAATTACAACTTTTTTGAGTTTCAATCTTAAATAAATACTAACAAAATACAAAAAAAAATGAAGGATGAACTTCAAAAAGTAAAATAAAAATGTACCTACCTAATAACATTCATACAGGTAACATGAGGTAGGTAATCAAATACCTTTACTATTGAAAAGATTGTTTACTTGATTTTACTGAAGCGAAGCTTTCGATGATATATATCATTTATGTTTAATTCATTTAGCAGGTCGTCGTTAATGGATAAAACTGCTAAGAAGTTCAAATTTTCTTGGGAAATTGCATTTCTTAAGTAGGTCTTTACCCTTTTTAGTGTCGAAAGATAGCGTTCGCCACTTGCTTTTGCGACCATTATGGAGAAAAAATACGCAGGCAAATATTAACGTTTGGGAACGAAGATTATTTTCGTATAAAACCTGTACCAATTCTAAAATAGTGTCTATTTTTAATTGGGGAAGAGGAAGAGACGTTAACAAATGCTTTAAATGACCACATTTTTGGGGAAAATTCTCTTTGTATTCTTGTTGTAATTCGATCTGAAAATATCCTTTTCTTCCCATAGTTTTAAGTTTAACCAAATATTCAAATGCTCTTGAAGAAAATTTTAACTATCAGATCGGCGAATAATATCCGACTTACTATTGTCTATTATAAAAACATAACATTCTGTTGACATTTTTTTTTTGCTTAAACTTACATCCGAATTCTTTTCTCCTAATTGACATTTTTTTGATATTCCTCTTCACAACATAATTTTCGTTCCCTGTTAACACAACATTCCTAAGGCCTCGTAGTGATCAAAACGATCACGTAAGAAATTAAACATGAGAACATGAGAGAAGAACAGGAACATAACAACATTAAACATAAGAATTATTACTTACTACTGAACATTAAAGATGAGAACAGATGAGCCAGCGTGATAAAATTATTCCGTTTTCCAACAAATCAAGTTTTTCCGATAGAGAAGCTGCTTAAACTTTTACATTTTTCTCATTTTTATCCGTTGACATTTCAATCAAACATATTTTAACCAAACCGTAATTTCTTTTTAACGCTTTTACGGCATCAAAACGAGAAGACCAACGGGTTGTATTCACTCTTTTAGGTAACAGTGTCTGTCCCAACTCAGGCGAATCCTTTATTACACGAGACAATAACACTCACCTGTATGTAGACACGGACAAAAAATTGTTGATAGCTTGTACCAACATAAAAAAGATGTTGCTTCCAAACAATAATCTAATGCATTTTGGACAACCAAATTTAAAGAGTGAGCAGCACATGGCACAGAGAGAGCTAAATCATTGCAAACTTTACGTGCTTGCAAACCAGAATACTTGCCATTCATATTACTGGCATTGTCATAAAACTGGCTTTTACAGTTCTTCTACATATCTAATTTTGAAGACTCTAAACATCCCAATAACTGTTTCTCCTCAAGTTCTTGTGAGCTATGCCCAGTGTTATAAAATGCCACAAATCTTTCCAAGGGATTCCCTTTATCGTTACAATATCTCAAAATCACTGTACGTTGGTCACACTGTGTTATATTAGGTGTTGAATGTACACTTATAAAATATAATATTTGTTTGCCTTTATTTGCCTAACAATTTGATCAATGACTCGATTGGACAAAATATTTAGTAATTCATTACATATATCTTTTGATAGATATGACGTTGTGGCCTTACCTAAATTTTGTCGTTTATTAATATAATCTTTTGAAAATGGATCATATTCTGACAATAGTTCCAGTAAAACTAAGTAGTTTCTATTCCGTTTTTCGCCAATTCTTTCATGAGTACCTCCAAATTCCAATTCCCTGGTTGTAATAATGTTTAACACGGACTGTTGTACATATTTATTAATATTACTTTCAGTATTACCGATTACAGTGTCATCCTAACCTCCTAATCTCAAGTGCTTAACCTAACCTCTGCCCCGAGACCACGTGCCGCCTGTCCCATGTCATAGTCCTGTCAGGACTTTACATTTACAAGCTATTCAGTCTCATGACATCTTTCCCTTCCTATAATATACAGACATTACAACAATGAACTAAGAATAAAAACATTCTAAAATATAAACTAATAACAATACTGATTGCAAAACTAGTACATTTCAAAATCATTATATCTAGATGGGGGTTTAATTAATCTTTTACTTCTGGTAGGAAACTGATTCGATATTTCACTCTCACGGGCCATTGATGTTGAAGGTCTGCCATTCTCATTGTGATCAAAATCATCTGCTAGGTTAATATGATGTTTAGGCATATTATTAGATGGTCTCAAGTGATAGCTATTTCTTCTTACAAGTGTTCCATTTTCTTTCTCAACAACATATGATCTTGGCTCTTGTAAACCTCGTCTAACCACAGCAGGTTTCCATTGCCCATCTTCTCTTATAACCACATTATCCCCTACACTTAATGCTTCTTTTGTAGCTGTATTTCTATCATAGTAGTGCTTGTACAATTTTCTTTTATTATCCAATTTATTCTTTTCATTTTTTAGGTCTGCCTGTTCTGGTAAATATTTCTCTTGTAAAACTGGAAGTTTGCCTCTAAGTCTACGACTATTCAAGAGTTGTGCTGGGGACTTGTCTGATCCTAATAGTGGTGTATTTCTATATTCTAATAAAGCTAACTGAAGATCTTCACACTTCCTGAAGATATTTTTAGCTATCTGGACGGCTCGTTCTGCCTGACCATTTGCTCTAGGATATCTAGGACTAGATGTCACAAATTTTAAAGTTCCATTCCTTAGAAAATTCTCGACATTCCTTAGAGCCAAAAGGCATATTATCAGATACAACTTCCAAAGGAATCCCATGAGTGGCAAACATCGTCTTAAACGAATTTATTATTGACTGGGATGTTTTGGACTGCAACGGAACAATTTCAATCCACTTTGTGAGATAATCCATTACAATTAAATAAGATGTTCCTCCAAATTCACAAATATCAGCTACTAGCACTTGAAATGGCAGTTCTGGAATTTCTCTTAGTACTAATGGCTCTTTAACATTATTTCTCTGATATTTCTCACACTCAACACAATTTCTAACCAAATCCACTATGTTCTTATTCATATTTGGCCAGAATAATACCTGTCTCGCTCTTTGCTGTGTTTTTGTAACCCCAAAGTGTGTTTCATGAAGCAGCTTTAACATCCTATGCCGCAAAGAATCCGGAACTATGACTCTGTCCTTATAAAACATCAAATCATTTAATGAGTAAACATCATGCCTAATATTAAAATAATCTTTGACTATGTAAGGTACCCTCGATGCACATGACGGCCACCCTTTTTCACAAAAATCTCTAATTATTTGAAGCTTCTTATCCTGTTTAGTTTCA